CCAGCCATATAGATGATTAATCAATAATAAAATGGGTTTATTACTACGCACGTAGTAAGCAACCTAAAGGTTCTTATGTACGGAGTACTATATATATATCATATCACTAATAAATAAAGCCGATCTCGCAGTCAGGTCACGAGACAACGATATTTGACATTCTAGATTTTCGCCAAGTGTCGAGCCACGTAGGCGACAAATAGATTTTATTGTGACACATATGATGCTAAGTAAACGAATTTTGGATAGATTTTTAAGATAAAAATGTTGTATAGAGTTTTATTATCGATATACTTCTAATATTTCATATATACAAAATTAATCATAACTTTTAATAAATATGTTATAACACGGTTCTATTACCATCATAAAATTCGTTTTAAAAAGTTCTTTAAAATAAGATCCATTTATAATATATTTAATTTATTTATAAAATAATAGAAAACATGCTTAAAAAAAAAATCTTTAATCAGTAAAAATAACTTTTTTCAATATCAAAAAAAAAAAAAACCAAGTTAATAATATCATAGATATCTTTTTATAAACAAAACTACAAAAAGTACAATATTATATAAATAAGCGATATGATATTGTATGTCTAAATATATTGCATTATCAAAAAAGATTATATGAACGTATTTAACATTCAAGCCAAAAAGTTAATCTTAAAATTTTATCAACGATCCGGGCATCGCCCGGGCACAAAACTAGTCACTAATATATAAAGCCGGTCTCACAGCCAGGCCACGAGATAGCGACACTTGGCATTCCAGTTATTCGCCAAGTGTCGCGCCACGTAAGCAAAAATTATGTACTATTGTGACACATATGATGCTAAGTATGGATAGATTTTTTTAAGATAAAATTGTTGTATAGAGTTTTATTGTCGATATACTTCTAATATTTCATATATATACAAAATTAATTATAACTTCTAATAAATATCCCATAACTCGATTATATTTCCATCGTAAAGTTCATTTTAAAAAGTTCTTTAAAATAAGATCCATTTATAATAAATTAATTTTTAATTAGTAAAAATAATTTTAGTTTGGTAGTAATACTTTTACTTCGGTAAAAATAATTTAATTTCAATAAATAAAAATAATTTCAAGTTAATAATAACATAAATATCTATTTACAAACAAAACTACAAGTACACTATTATATAAATAAGCGATATGATATAGTATGTCTAAATATTTAGTTTCATCCAAAGTGATTATATGATCGTAATTAACATTCAAGCAAAAAGGTTTATCATAAAATTTTATCAACAATTCAGGCATCACCCGGGCACAAAACTATAACTAATATATAAAGCAGAACTTTTAGCCTTGCCACGAGACAACGACACTTGACATTTTAACTTTTCGCCAAGTGTTGAGCCACATAGGTGCCATATAAGGATAATTATTTTGACACATACGACTTATTTGAATATATTTTTTAATAAATAAAAATTTGGATAGATTTTATACGATAAAAAAAGTTAGTTTATAGTTTTAATTTCAATAAAATTTGGATAGAATTTAGGATAAAATTATTGGTTTAAAGTTATATTTTCGGTAAAATACCAATATTATAAATTAAATTATAATTTTATTCAAATTAATAATTAGATTATAACTCTCTATGATTATCCTAAAAAATTATTATTTTTATCATAATATTTGTGATAAAGAATACTTCAAAATTTCCTTCAAAAAAAAAAAGAATACTTCAAAATAAATCTATTTATGATATATTTTGTTAATTGACATAAAAAATAAGTTAGTCATTAATAAATATATAAAGTTGTACGATTAACCAAAGTCACGCGATATAACAAAACTTAAGCGGTTCGATTAACCAGCAGGGGACGATATATGACATTCCAACTTTTCATAAGTGTGGTGCACGTAGGTAACAAATAACCATTATTGACACATATGATTTAGTTGGATAGATAAAAAGTTTATATTAATGATATGTTTTAAAATTTAGCATATAGATAAAAAAAAATAATAAATAATAATAATAATAATAATAATAATAATAATAATAATAATAATAAACAATCCGGGCATTACAAGGGGCACGAAACCAGTCACTAATAAATAAAGCCAGTCTCATGGCCAGGCCACGAGACAGTGACACTTGACACTCTAGTTTTTCGCCAAGTGTCGCACCACGTAGGAGATAAATAGGTATTATTGTGACACATATAATGCTAAGTAAGCGATTTTTGGATATATTTTTTAAGATAAAATTGTAGCATAAAGTTTTATTATCGATAAAATACTAATATTTTATATATACAAAACTAATCATAACTTTTAATAAATATCCTATAACTCAATTCATTTCCACCATCAAATTCGTTTCAAAAAGTTCCTTAAAATAAGATCCATTTATAATATATTTAATCAAAAACTTTTATACTATATGTAGATGGTCAAACCGTGTCACCAACTATTATAAGAGTTACTTCGTTAGTGCTATAGGGGTTACTTGGTCAGTGTTATAGTGGTTAATCAATCAGTGTTATAGATAAGGGTTACTCAATCAGTGTTAGAGGTTACTCATCAGTTAGTATTGCAGGGGTTACCCGATAAGTTTTATAGGGGTTACTTTGTCTGGCCAGATGGTGCAGCTAGCTGCATACAAAATGCATTGTTATTAATTTATTTTACAAAAAAAAAAAAATTAGATAATCAATAAAAATAAGTTTTAATCAGTAAAAATAATTTTAGTTTGGTAAAATACTTACTTTCAGTTCAGTGAAAATAATTTAAGCTCAATAAAAGTAATTTCAAGTCAATAATAATATATATATCTATTTACAAACAGAACTATAAAAAGTACACTATTATATAAATATAAGCCATAAGATATCGTATGGCTAAATATCCTACATTATCAGAACAGATTATATGACTGCATTTAACATTCAAGTAAAAATGCTATCTTAAAATTTTATCAACCATCTGGATATCGCCCGGGCACAAGCAAAATCTACATATAAATATATATATATATACATGTGTATATATATATATATATATGTATGTATATATATATATATATATATATATATATATATATATATATGTATGTATGTATGTATGTATATATATATGTATGTATATATATATATATGTATGTATATATATATATATATGTATGTATATATATATATGTATGTATATATATATATGTATGTATATATACATATATGTATGTATGTATATATACATATATGTATGTATGTATATATACATATATGTATGTATGTATATATACATATATATAATATATATGTACATACACATACACACACACACTATTACTAAAACAAAATATTGCTGACATCATCACTGTCCATGTGTCACTCTTATAATAAATTTTTTCCTGCCTAAATGCAAGGATGATGTTTTTTTTTTCTTTTTCTTGTGGAGCTACCATATGTCACAATTTTGAAATTAGAATATTATAAGCTTCTACATTACAACTTCAGTCTATCAATTTATCCTAAAAAAATGAAACAATTGTAAATAGCACACTAATAAATGGACTCCTACATTGAAAATATGTATTAGGCGATGTTGAACAAGTATTATATCATAATTTTGATTAAAATCTAAAATTTTAAAATTACAAATATTTTTTGTACAAGGTGCATAATTCTTATTTATATTTATCCTTTTTTTAAGTACAAATTATAAAAATAGTTTTTTATAAACCGTGCATAGCACGGATTCTAACCTAGTGTGTGTGTGTGTATATATATATATAGGATTGAGATCATGTGAGAACCAAGTCCTATAATAGGAACCAGGAACTCATCGTGACCGTTGATCGCTCTCAATCCGACGGCTTGTGTTTCACTCGCCTTTTTCAATTTTATTAAGGGTATTTTGGTAATTTTGCCAGTTGAATGACCTTTCTCCTATTCTTTTTGCATTTCTTTTGTTTCTCTCTCCTCTCTTGCACTTTCTCTCTCTACCCTCAACTCTCTTTGTATTTTCGTTTCTCTTGTATCAAAATCGGGATTTTCTTCTTCGCTCATCAGTTTTTTGCTGTGATTCTTTGATTTTCGTCATTGTTTGAGGTAATTCTTTTTGATTTATTATACTTTTTGCGATTTTGTGAATTTTTTTTATCGATTTGCGATCTGTTTTGTTTAATTTGAGATTTTTTATTTTTTTGTTCGATTTATTATTTTTGAATTGTTGTTTTTGTTTTCGTTCGAGTTTTTCAGCTTATTTTTGTTTTATTTAGTGTTCTTTTGTTATGATTTTGTGTTTTTTGAAGTACTTTCTACGATTTAGGATTCATATACTACGATTTGGGGATTTTTTTTTGAATTACTTACTACTTTTTAGGGTTTTATATGATTTACTTACAGTAACTCCTTTACCATTACTAGAACCAACCTTATTCTTATCTACTTTAGTAGTACTTGAGCGGACTTTAAATCCACACTCTTTAGCATATTTGTAATAAAAGGAAATACCATCTCCATGACTATCAAATTTCATTCCAAGAATAGGTTTGTTTTCCAAAGAACAACCTGGGATATACTCTTTATCACCTCTAGAATTATAATATATCTTAGGAAGCACAGGCTGAGTGGGTGTTTACGATTTTAATTTTTTTAATTTTGAGTCTTATATTATGATTTGGGTTTTTTTTTTTTTAAAAAAAAAAAAATTGAGTCTAATTGTATGCTTTTGTATTGTTTTGAGTCTTATATTACGATTTGGGTTTACGATTTTAATTGAAGAACAATGTTGATGAAATTTGGAATGAAGAATAATCAAGTGAAGAAGGTTTTTTTTTGCTAGTTTCTGTTCATTTTTTTTATCATTTTAGTTTAGATTTTATTGTACTGGATAGTGATTGTATCTGGATTTGAGAGATCTATTGATAGTTTTTATTAGTATACTTTTTTAAATGGTTTACTTTTTGTTATTGTTTATTTACTTTTTTCTTTGATTTATTCACTTTTCAGGAAGATGACTGAAAGTGTAGAGCATTGTTGTGCTGCTGTCACTGATGAAGATAAGAATGTAAAAATTTTCAAAACACCCACTCAGCCCGTGCTTCCTAAGATATATTATAATTCTAGAGGTGATAAATTGTATATTCTAGGTTGTTCTTTGGAAAACAAACTTATTCTTGGAATGAAATTTGATAGTCGTGGAGATGGTATTTCCTTTTATTACAAATATGCTAAAGAGTGTGGATTTAAAGTCCGTTCTAGTACTACTAAAGTAGATAAGAATAAGGTTGGTTCTAGTAATGGTAAAGGAGTTACCGTAATTAAATATTTCTTATGTAGCAAAGAAGGGTATGTGACAAATAATAAGAAAGCTGGTAAACAAGTTGAAGGTGCATGTTTAAGGAAAAAGACTGGGAAGAGAGTTAGATGTCCTGCTAATATTAAATTTAGGTTTTGTAATGGTGGGCAGTATATGGTATACTCTTTTTATGAGTCTCATTCTCACCCTTTTTCTACACCTATTACTAGTCAGGTTACTAAATATGAAGTTGGTTTAAATTTTGCTCATAAGAAGTTTATTTTTGACAACTCAAAGTTAAATATAGGGGTTGTGATGTCTTATAGGATCATGAAAGAACTTTGTGGTGGGTTTAAAAATGTCAGGGGCAGTAAAAATGACTTCAAAATTTTTTCTAAGGACTTGAAAGTTTATATCTCTAATGTTGATGGTGCAATGTTTGTTCAAAACCTTGAACAAAAAGTGAAAAGCAGTAAAGGGGGTTATTATTTTGATTACTGTGTTGATGAAAGCAGGAACTTGACACGTGTTTTTTGGGGTAATGCTATTGGTAGAAGAGATTATCAATTGTTTGGGGACTCTTTATCTTTCGATTCTACCTATGTTATAAATAAATACTAATACTCATTGGTTTTCTACCCTTTTACTGGAGTTGATAATCATAAGAGATGTGTTACATTTTGCGCTGCTTTATCATCTAAAGAAGATGTAGAATCTTTTGTGTGGCTATTTCAAACTTTTTTGAAGTGTATGGGAAGAGAACCCTCTTGCATAATCACTGATCAAGACCTTGCAATGGGTATTGCCATACAAAAGGTTTTTACCAAGACTAAACACAGGTTATGTATGTGGCACAAAATGAGGAAGGTACCTGAAAAGGTTGGAACTCAATTTTGTAATGAAACTGAGTTCTTGAAAAAGCTAAGTGCAGTAGTTTGGATAGAGAAATTGATCCCAATGTATTTGTTGATGGCTGGAACAGTGTTATGGAGGAATTTGACCTTGTAGATCATGAGTGGTTTGCATACATGTTCAAGATTAGACATCTTTGGATCCCTGCATATTTCAAGGACTTGTTTATGGGTGGGTTACTGCGTTCTACTTCTAGGTCTGAAGGTGAAAACAGTTTCTTTTGTAATTTTATAAACCCCCATGTGACCTGTGTTGAATTCTTTGTCCGTTATGAAACTTCTCTTGATGCTCAAAGGCATGAATAGGATGAACAGGCTTAATAAATCTGAGCCTCAATTGGTTACTCATTTACACTTAGAAAAGCACGCTGCTATTGTTTACAGTCGTGCCATCTTTTATGATTTTCAAGATGATTTGAACAGGCTTAATAAATCTGAGCCTCAATTGGTTACTCATTTACACTTAGAAAAGCACGCTGCTGTTGTTTACAGTTGTGCCATCTTTTATGATTTTCTAGAAAAATGCCAGGCAGCCTGTTTCTCATGTGGTGTTGAAAGTTGTAGTTCTCTATATGGAGATGGTGTGGAGTTTTCAGTAATTGTTGATCATGAGAAAAGGAAAAACTTTGATGTAAATTTTGACTCACATATGAGTGCAGTTGTACTTGTAAAATGTTTGAGAGTCAAGGCATCTTATGTAGACACATTCTGTTTATTATGAAAGGCAAGTCTATACATGAAATTCCTGATCTTTATATCATGAATCGTTGGAAAAAAGACATTATGAAGAAAGCTTCTGCCACAAATGTTGTTCTGGATGATGCTTCTAAGTATGATAAGAAGAAGCAATTGGTGAGTGATGTGTGGTCCAAGATTTTCATTTGTGTGAGTTTATCTGAGCAATCTGAGGATGATTTATGTGAGCTTATTAGGATATTATCTTCATTTGAGGAGTAGATGCTGACAAAGAACAATCTTGAAAGTGCAACTAGTTCAAAAGAGGTGAAAGATGTTGATATTAAGGTTTTGGTTGGGTCAAATGAAGTAGATGTAAACATCTTGCCTCCAAATCAGTGTCTTAATAAAGGTTCTGCTAGAAGTTCAAAGCGGTTGAAGAGTGTAAAAGAAATAGCTTCTGAAGAAAAATCCAAAAAGGGAAGAATCTGTAGAGCTTGTGGGCAATCTGGTGTTTCACATGACAGTAGAAACTTTCCAAACAAGTAGTTCTTCAGGTATAGGTATTTTACTTTTACATGTGTTTCATTTATTTTAATCTGTTATTTATTTACTTTAACATTTAATTTGATTTACTTTTTATTTTTGTGCAGGTGTTATTATACTTGTACTTTTTTTTTTTAGGTATTTTACCTTTGTACTTTTCTCATTTACTTTAAGTTGAAATTTATTTACTTTACATTGTAATTTATTTACTTTAATCTGTCATTGATTTTCTGATGTTTATTTTTGTGATGTTATTAAATACTTGGAAAGTTAAAGATGTTTTGGAAGATCAAGATATACTGTAGAAATATTAATGCGTGTGTGTGTGTGTGTGTGTTTTTTTTTTTTTGTTTTTTTTTAATGTAATATTTTTACATTTACTCTAAGTAATTGTACTACAGAAATAAAGTTCAGTTTATTTACTTTTACCTATTATACTTTAATTTTATGAAATATTTCATTTACTTTATGATATTGTCTTTTCGTGCCTTTCACAATGAATAATATATCATATGAATTGTATTATCATGTAATGTCCTTCTTATTTACAAAATTGAAGATAATATCCTATATTACTCCCTTCGTCCCAATATACTTGGCACGATTTCGATTTTCATTCGTCCCAAAATACTTGACACATTTCTAAAAATAGTATGGGACCACATTTATAACATTATTTTTTAATACTCCCCCATGGTCCGATGGTAACAAAACTTGTTAATATACGAGGCTCTCTTATAAACAAAACATTCTTTACTCTTTCCCTTATCTCCATTGCACAACCACCTACACCATTTTCTACCACCGCACAACCATCGTATGGCCACTAACACTATCACATGGCCAATAGCTGAAATAATATGGTGCATGACCTTCCAACCAACAATCTTTCGGAAAATTTGTACTTTTTTTAGTGTGAACAAGCATTGAACTACCACCTCCACCTCCACAACCACCTCATAAAGACTTTATTTTTTTTGAACTTTTTTCTTTTACTTTTAACTTCATGTTTTTTTATTTTAACACTAATTCCCTTTACTTTTAAATCGAACATCATATTTTTTACTATTTTTTTTTTACTTTTTCTCTTAAATTTGTTCCTTTTACTTTAATGATAATTTCATTTACTTTTGGATTAATTGCTTTTACTTTAAATCGAACACCATATTTCAGAAAGACTTCATTTTCTAAACTTTTTTCTTTTACTTTTAACTGAGTAAAAGAAATCATGTACGTACATTTTCTAAACTTTTTTCTCTAAGCAATCATATACGTACATGTTCTCAAGGTTACTATTAAATCAGTTTTCTTTAATTTCTGCATACTTAGCTTACAATAGGTAAGTAAATAGCATGCAATTTAATAGTCCAGAGTCCACTCCATTTCTCCATGACTCCAATACTCAAACACTTGACCTTGGAAGGAAAGACATATAATATATAACTGGTTTTACCACTAGAGAATTATACTTGGGAAATTATGGGAAATCAATATCAGATCAGAAATAATGGTAAATGCACTACACATATTTTATTAGACCTTTTCGATGATACAAAACAGGCCGGCATTGTTTGATCCATAGCTCCTACATACATTCTCATCAAAAACCTTCGTTTTCATCCAATCCAATTCAAGCCACAAACAGAAATACAAGTACTATTACATCAGATACATACATGTATTATGCAAGGGAAAAAAAAAAACACTCTGATCATATCCTTTCTTCTACACATGCTTTTTGTGCTTTCTTCTCTTCCCAATCCTTAACATTTGTCAGCAGTTTCTCTTGCATTTGATTGTTATCATTGAGAAGTAGGTTAAGTACTGTTTTTATGTGATGGTGTGTCAATCTTTGAAATTCCTATAAAAAACAAAAGATTAACTTTAGTTTTAATAAATTATGCTTTAAGTAATCCATATAACTTAAAGAATTTAAGGACTTGAGAAATAAGTATGGTAACTTACCTCTTTTATGGTTCCCAATCCTATCCCATTAATACCATCATACACCTTCATGTGCAGCATTAAATAGCTTCCTGAGTAATTTTCTTGGGTTTGTTTTTGGAATGGAAGTTCAATTATTCTCAGCTTGTAGGACAACATCTCAATTGCCTTTGGATGCTTTCTTTTTTTAAACAACTTCTGCATTTGTATGATCTGCAATGGAAAGAATATTAATGTAATATGATACATTGAAAAATAAATTTAATGACATTTTGTTAATCTATTTATGCTTTACCGTTTCTAAGATAAAACTCTGTACATGCTCATATTCATCAGTGCTCTCATATAAAGTGTTATCCAAATGATCAATTGTTTCATTTTTGAAGTTTATGACAGCAAGAAAATAATAATTTTCCTGCTTCAGAGGTATAAATACCTGCACATATAAAATATTTACACATATTTACTTTAAATATGTTTTTTTTTTTTACTTTAAACATATATTTTTCTACTTTATATATTTATTCTATATCTTACACATTCAGCTGCATCCAAGTCCAATGATTGTGATTTTGTCCAATCAATCCATAGTTTTTGCAGACTTGTTACTCCCTTTTTCCCATGTGCATTCAAACGCATAGTTAAAGCATCCTGCAATAAAGTTCCCAAGTTTATTTCACATATTTATACAATTCATAGTTTCATATTATAAAAGTAAACGTAAAAAACTTACCATGAAGTCACGTCCAAAGAAGAATCTGACCATGTCATTTTCAGACCTCTCTTTCTGCCTTTCATTGTTATTAATGTGGTTTGACTAAGCAGTGATCAGATTAGTTGAAGTTTTCCATTCATTGATTAAAGTGTTACAATCTTCCCTTATTATTTCAATTGGTTCTCCAAACCAACCCACTACTTTGCTGTAATGTTAAATTAAATTTATGCCAAACAATTTAATATATAATGCAACAGGAGTATTAGTTTATTTGCAAGTATAACACATACCTCTTGTTTGGAAAGTTTTCATCAACATTTATTGATAAGTAGTCAATCACTTGCTTACATTTCAAGCTCATGTTTTGCATTACTTCCTTGTGTGTTTTCAAGAAATCGGAAACATATATCATATCTTTCACCTCTTTATCCTGCTCAAGTTTTCTAACTACTATGAACCTTGAAACTTTTTCCACAAGACTTTTTCTTTCAGTGTTTATCTCTGCCAAAGCAAGTGCAGCACAGATTTCTGCACGATACACCTTTCTCCTATTTGCTAAATCAAGGTCATAATCAAAAGGGTCTCTAGTAAAACACAGCATATGCATCATTGTAAAAACACCACAATCAAGAGTATATTTTGGTGTTTTCCGCTCAAACTTAACTTCATCAAACTCATAAACTAAGTATTTCATCAGTTTTTTCATGATTAATTCTCTTCGGGATGTTTGACATTTCCTCTACCTATAACATTTGTAAAGAAATATATAAGTAAAACAAATTTACAGTACAGTTTACTTTAAATAACATATGTATTACTTTAATGAGAACATCATTTACTTTATATTTTATCTTATTCTTTTTACAAGCATAATAATGTATACTTTTAATACAAACTTATTTACTTTAAACAGTAATGTCATTTACTTTATATTAATAATAATTTACTTTTGAGAAATTAAAAAATCTTACCACAAGAGATGCAAGAATTTTGTAGAAAGGCCTATCCCTGTCATCATACTCCTTGTTATCCAAGTATTGAATGGTCTCTTTCAACAAGTTAACCATTACCAAACTATAGTGGTTACTCAAACAGATTGGAACAAATATATGTCATTAAAATTACACTTATTAGTCTACAAATTCAAAATCATAATGCCCTACAATGTAGTTTAATTGACATGAATAATAAAACATACCAACTGAGCTGTCATAATTTTCTCCTTTGAATCACAGAGGCACATCCAATCATACCATGCCTAATTCAATTCTGCCGTGTGTGTTGAAGGAGATGGTATTTCTTTTTCATCTATTTTTGGAGTTGGCTAGGAAGGATCTTATGACATGAGACACAGCTCTAGAGGTCTCTGTGTATTAATGAGGACATAAAACATGTTACTTAGTTAGATCATATACATTTAATTATGTATTTAGCTAAACATTTAATTTAACGCTTACACTTGGTCAATGCCAAGGAAAAAGCATGATGGATCATCTTTCAATCGTATATCATTCATAAGAAATGACCAACATTGAACTATATTGGATTTTCTCATTTGGGGGGGGGGGGCGCAGTTAGAGCTAGGGATACTGTGTCATCCCTTGTTATCATGAAAGGAGCTTCATATTTCACAAGCTCTTCACTGTGCACATTTAAGTGTTTACAAAGTAAATAAAATATTATTTAAAGTAAATTAAATATTAATTAAAGTAGATAGAATATTTTTAAAATTAAAAAATTTCATAACTTACTGTTTGAATGCATTGTACTTCACAAATGAAGTAATCACCACTACTTGATACAACTCTGGCATTTCATTCATTCTTGATTTGTTGTTTCTCATTGACTTTAAAACAAAATAACTTCAACATCTTTTTTCCACAATCTACATTGAAGCTATCTCTTGGTGAATGTTCGCACAATGATTTCTTCTGCAACAGGTTGTTTATCACCATCACCTGAAATAAAGTAGCAGATGTAGTTTCAAAGAAATCTTACACTATCTACTTTTAATTGATTTGTATTTACTTTTATACAATATTTACTTTCTTTTGTTAACAACTGCTTAAAATCAAAGATAACAATTGAAAAGTTAAATAAAACAGATCAAACAGCTATTTATTAACTTTTAACCAATTTTTATCTACTTCTATCTAATTTATGTTTACTTTTATCTACAACTATTAAATTTCAAAGAAAACTACCCAAAGTTAATTTGAAGAAAGGTACACCATTACTTTTTTCAACAACCACATTAGCCTCTTTGGTTGCTTCCTTTGTGAAAGTCTCTTCAGCATCTTTGAGTGCCTTTTTACTTTGTTTTTTTGTGACAGGTGGCTTATCT